CGCTCAGCAGTCAGCATTGTTGTTACTGAGGATCGAATAAATGGGTTCAGCGAAATAATTAAAAGCAGATTTTATGATTCTTTCTTGCAGCTCTGAATCTTGCTGCTGGTTTGAAACTAGGAATCCTGTAAGGCTAGTAGTGTTTTATTAGGCAGAGGTGAGGAGGCCTCAGGCCTGCAATGCTGTTAATGAGAATAATCCTGTTGGCCCTGCAGTGCTGCTTTGAGAATACTATAGCAGAACAGGACACATGCCCATAATGTGTTGTTCGATTGTCCCATGATACTGTCATCTTTCTTCTATGGCTATCCGTTTTCCACCATTTGTCCTCATGCTTTTACCATGCATGCATTCTGAATGATATCATTAATCTGGAGTAGATAATGTCCTGATAGGTTGATAGTGAGTTAGTGACATCGGATTGTACTGTAACCGATACTAGTTGATGCAGTATTATGGCAGGCTTCTGCTGGGTTTGTCAACTGGGAAGGAGGCAGCGCCAATTCGACAAGGATATATTATGTATTCAAAGTTGCTCATTGGTCAAGCCTGTAGGAGTATCTATTTACCTTTGGACTCTGCAGTTGCATACTCTCTTATTAATAGTATCTGTCGGGGTTGATGATCCTGCAGGGTGCAGGATGCAGGGAGTTCCTTGACGTTCTGGGGTAGAATTGCACAAACAGGTTTGTCAGACAGTTTGTTCACAAGATTTCTACTACTCTTGTTCAATTTCAAGTCAGAAAAAAAAGTTTAAAGACGTTATATCAATCAATTAACTCTACTGTGCATACACTGGCTCACCTCCTGGCACAAAATTAACAAGTGCAGTACTTGTTCTCGCTCTCTTCTACCTGCAGTATATGGTGTTATAAGATCTACGGGTCAAAAATTTGATATGAGATCCCAAAATAAATCATTCGATTGTTGTATATTAGTTGTTCCAGAATTGCGAAGGGACAGAGTAGCGATGAGTTTACACGAGGATCCGTGGATGGCCTTCAGGCCTTGTATCATCAGGGCTTTGGCTGTCAGCGAGTGAATGGTCTGAATAGTGGTGAATATAGTGATCCATGGAGTATTAAGGAAGTGCGGTGGGTGGACCGGCTTCGGCACGGCCGGTTTCCTGCTGCACAGCCGACTGAAATAATTAATGGTTCTCAGCGCAGCAATTGAATGCTGCTTTCTCTCGGTTCTACCGTTTCTTTTTGGAGACAATATACGCATTAGTTGCATCTGAAAAATTGACCGGTAGGGCACAGTGGGAATATATGAATAGTACTCCAGTACTATACTCTGAATTTAGGCAGGTACTCAGGTTACATCTGATTAATTCTTTGCAGAAAAAAGGATTACATCTGATAAAGTACAGTATCAGTGTGCATGTGACTTTGCTCGTGGAAGAAAAAGCGTGAAATCATTCCAAGCAGCAAGCAGCAGCAGCCCAGCCGCGCTACCGGATAAAACCCCGCGGCCACCGCACGCGCACGGGCGGCCACACCCACACGGTCCCGCACACCGCGTCGCACCAGACCACACACCGCCGAGCCCCCAACCCCGCCACCTCCCCCACTAACGCCGGCACGCCGCGCACCGCTCGCTCGCTCGTCCGACGCCCGCGCCCGCTGGCCCGCGCGAACCCCACACCAAACGCGCGGGGGCCGCGGGATCTCTTGCCAGTTGCCACCACCCCATGCGGTCCCGGGCCGATGGGGCCGCGTCCCTCTCTCTCTCTCCCTCTCCCCCCGCGACAAAAGCTGCCGCGCGCCGGCTCGCGTGCTGTACGCCGCCCCGCTCTCTACACCACGTACGCGTACGCCGGCTACGTCGACGCGTACGTCCCTCCCGTCCAGATCGAGATCAGTTTCGTGGCCCGCCGTCATTTGCCAGATATCACGCATGCCCAGCCCCAGCCCAGTTTTAGGAGTCACAACACAAACACACGCACGCACCTATCACACACTCACCAGTCACCACCACGAATAAAATTTTAAAAAGGTATCTCCCCATGCCATGCTTAACCAAACTCTTTTTCGATCGATCGATCGGGATCAACCTACAGACACCTACGAGCACGTACGCAAAGACGCAGCCACGCCACACGCACAGTTTCAACGATCCCATCATGCCCCGATCCATCCATCCATCCATCCCCCCGTAACCGTGCATGTGTAATCTCGCGCGTGCACAAAAGCTCCCCTCCAAAAGCTCGCTTTTGCCCCCCCTAAACTCGCGCCTAGTTACGCATAATCATCAACAGTTGAACTCCCCCGCGGCTAGCTGCCTCACCTCACCTGCGCGCGCATACACGCACGCACGCGCGCGCGCGCGCGCGTACAACACATCGCGGCCATTTTCGCGTACGTGGGCCAAAAGGGGATCGATCGCGCGCGAGTGACGGATGGAGCGCGAGATCGATCGGTTGAGATAGCGGCGAACGAGGCGCGGATCGATGGATCTGTGTGTGCGTGCGTGTGTAATGCGAGGGGAGGTTGTGGTGCTCGCCATGATGGCGCTAGCTGCTATGCTAGCCTCGCCGCGCCGGTGGATGGATGGATCGATGGGTGCCAACTCGAAGCTGTGGTGGCCGGGGGGTGCACGCGGGGCCCGGACTCGCTCACGCGGCGACGTTAATTGTGCGCCCCTTTTGTGCTCACCGGTCGGTCCGTACGTGCGTAGCTTCACGCGCGTACATAAAAAGAGAGAGAGAGAGAGAGAGAGAGAGAGAGAGAGAGAGAGAGAGAGAGAGAGAGAGAGAGAGAGAGAGAGTTCTGCTCCCAGTTCTGATCGCAAATAATCAACAATATAATCATGGTCGTGTACCAAAAAATACACTATAATAATGTTTTCTTTTTCTCAGATAGCAAATGCATATACAGCAGTACGAGCTAGATGGCAAGCATGTAATATGTCGTGTCAGTTTTGTGCGCAACATATGATCGGCCTTATCACCTGACGAAGACGTCCGTACTGCGTGGGTGACGTCATCTATCAAGTGATCGATCGATCGATCGGTGTAAGATGTGGTTGTGTCCTTTTGTCGATCGACCGATCGCGAGCCGCTTTTTGGGTACCAGACCACATGCACGTCGCATCTTTGAAGCCATCATATGTCCGGATATTGCGCGCTTCTCCTCGTGCTACCTTCCTTGTGGCCACCATCTAATAAGGCTATGTGTGTTTGACATTTTCATGGGCTGTATGATAGTCTCATGTTGTGTAACGGTTTTCATTATTTCGGTGTTTGACATTGACTTCCTTTTAGTCTCTGTTGCAAATGATAATATTAATTATCGCTATAGAAAGAATCATATATATCTTGCTAAAATGACTCTGCTTTCAATTTTTTTTAGAAACACAGTACAATTGTACAAACGCAAGTACTCAAAATACGTGTGCACTCACCCCCTCTCCCCTCCCCCCTATATATAAACGCATACACCCACACCTCACCCTTATGAGCACATCTGAAAGATTATGTTGGCATCTCTTGAGATTCATGAAGTCATCATAAACATCTCGCTATCGATTGATACGTATCCAATGTTTGATCTCTCATTGTTTAAGATTATTTTCAAGTTTAAATTCTTCGCCATAAAATTTAAAATTCTGTTAATATCCTATCATATATATTACCATGTAAACAATGTATCACATCTATGATTGATATGTATAGGGCATTTGGTAATTGTTGTTTTAGATTTGCCCCTGCATTAGGTTAACTATGACCATATTTTTAACACAAAAATACCTCAATATATGTCTCTTAATTAGGCTCTATGCAAATACACAAGGAGGTGTAGGAGATTATAAAAGAAGCTGCAGAAGTCAGGAGTTCCCCATGTAGAGATTCGGTTTGACTATGCAATTTATGTAACTTCACCAGAATGCCCTTCCAGCTCATTTTCTGCGCCCATTCAAGTCGATGTACTCAAACATTGCTCTCTTGCTTTTATATCATCTGTGCATATATATCCATATTACACGTACGTCATGAAATTAGAGTTCTAATGGACATGGTCTAATACGTGGTTGTGGCTAAAAACAGAAGGAAATTAAAGGCATACTGAGCATAATTTAAATAAACTTGATTTTTACTTGAACAAATTGCACACTAGCTCCAATGCTGAATAGTCCCTAGCTTGCAAGCTTCCATTTATTCATCTGTTCGTTGTCCTACCAATCTACCATCAAATAACTATAGCTAGAGTATCAAGCTAGCTTCTAGCGGTAGATCTAGTTAAAAGTACAAAGCACACTGTATACAAGAAAGTGAGAAAGAAACATAACTGATTAACTAGCTGTTTTAGTCCCTACCAATAGACCGTCATGTCTAATCTATCAAAAGATCATTTCATGGGCACGGTATTCAGCTAGACAGGAGGCATCTTATCCTCGCCCATGCATTTCACCATACTCCCCATCTCTAACCCCAGAAGGAAGACGAGAGACTATTAACTCCAAAAACCATTTTGCTGAGCCCATGCATGACACAATCTGACATGTTCATTTCAGAGATCTTTACAGCCAGCACGAGCAGACAAAGAGGAATGTATCATTTAATTTGGTGGCTAGTTGATGCCAAGGAGGAAGAACACTGTACACATGCATAGCTAGAGAAGAGACAAATGCTGCCCTCACATGCATGACCAAACCAAACCATGATAGGAGTAGATATGATCTTCACAATTCTCTGACACGGTCCTGTGTATACTACCCCGACATGCAGCACCTGCAAGTCCTCTCTCCCAATCATTCCAAAGGAAGCAATCTCTGCCATGGTCTTCACCCAATCATGCAGCCCCAGGCAGCATATATTATTTTATGTGCAGTGCAGAGATCAGTGCAGTGTCCAAGTCAGACAGTTAAAAAAAAAGGATGAACTTTTGACTAGACAAACAAGTACTCCTACGTACGTGCTGCAGTCAGCATGTACATGTAGTAGCACATCCATGAACATATGATGAAAAAAAAGTATTAAAGTGAATGGAGCAAAGAAATTGTTATGACTATGACCTCATCGATCAAGGGAAGGTTATTATATGCAGTTCATCATTACTCAGAGAGAAATACAAATTACCTATCCTGAACTCCTGATCATACTTACCACTAGTTTAGAAGGCATGATCTATGGATTAATTGAGAATTAACATGGGTATAGTACTCTGATACGTACGCACTCGATCTGATCGTTTCATCAGAATTAATAACTGTGAACCAGAGAGTGGGACACACAGAGAGAGAGAGAGAGAGAGAGAGAGAGAGAGAGAGGTAGTACATGGTGGTACCATCTGATCAGAATGCCATGCACGCGTGCATGAACTGTAGCTATAGCTGATTCACTTGAATCCAGTACTGGTGCTGTAATCCCTACCTCCGGCCTCGGGGATCGGATTATTCCAGTCCCAGATCCTGTCGGAGAAGGCGGCGAGCGACATCGGCAGCGTCGCCGCCGCTGCCGCCGTCGTCGTCCCGAGCGGCGCCGGCGTTGGTTGATGCGACGACGGCGTCGTAGGCAGGTGAAGGAATTGACTATAGTTGTGGCTGCCGGCCGCGGGGTTAATGTAGGACGGCGTGCCGTGGCCCACCAGCGAGCTCAGCTCATCAATGGCAGCGGCGGAGCTGCCCATGGATGCCGCGTTGACGAGGTTGAGCAGCGAGTACGTGGAGGCGAAGGCACCGCTCGTGTTCTTGGAGTACTGCTGGTACAATGCCGCCGCGAAGTCTTGCTGAAATTGCTGCTGCTGATCGCCGCCGGCAGCGGAAGCCATCGAGGAATTCTGCAGGTAGCCGCCGCAAGGCTTGGCAGCGTGGAGCTGCTGCTGCTGCTGATGGTGCCGCGGCGACGGTGCCTTGTGCGCCACCATGGCGGCGTGGTCCGTGACGATGGCGGGCGGCGACGTGCACTCGCTGCTGAGGAGGTGGAGCTTGGACGGAGTTGGAGGCGGCGTCGGCGTGGACGTCGACGAGGAGCCTTGCTTGTTGTCCTGTACCGGTGCCGCGCCGCCGCCGCGGGAGTGCGCCGACGACCGCGCCGTGGATACCTGGCCATGGCCGTCGTCGATGCCGGTGCGCTTGTACACGCGGCATAGTGAGATTTCAGTCTGCAATTTCATGGACGCGAGAAGATCAGGATAGGGGTTAATTTTTCACTGAAATTCAGTTCAGATCTTAGCATCTTACTGATTACTGAAAGTTTGTGAGAAATTCAGCTCAGAATGATTGAGGAATCTAGGATTCTAGGCCCCCATATATTCAAGATATATAGCATCTAGGGATCGAAGTGATCGAGTAGGTGCATATTCTATCACTCAATTATGCATACTCATGACGAACACCCCAAAAAAAATCAGCACCCAAAGAAAGAAGAATCATGAAACCCTAATCATACCCACTCTTAAATACTACCGCTAGAATTCATGGGCAAACCATGAGCGCCAGCTAGCAGTGCAACTAAAAGCAAGCAGAATCAACAACACAAGAACTCCTCTAACCCTAGTACTGAGAATTCAATCCCCTACAAATTAATTGGATGAGAAGGAGAGATCGATCGAGGAAGACGAAGCGCGAGTAGATTCATGGATGGATGGGTACCTTGTGGTAGCGGTCGGTGTCGGCGGGGGGAAGGCGATACTCGTTCATGATCCAGCTGCTGCGGACGCCCTTGGGGGCCTTGCCGGAGTAGAAGACAAGCGTCTTCTTGAGCCCGATGGGGCGGTTGTTCTCGGCTCGGATCATCCGGTCGGCCCCCGTCGCCTTCCAGTACCCCGACGCCGTCACCCGGTTCGGCCGGTCCCCGTTCCTGTACTTCCTGTCCCGAGGCACGTAGAAGAACCACTCCTTCTCCCCTATCGCCGCCATTGCTGCACCCCCATCGAGCTTGTTAATTAGATGCTCAATTCCTAAATCAATCGATTGATATGATCGAGGCGGAGAGTAACTAACTAATTACCGGGGAGCTCCCAGGGGTCGTAGCGGTAGAGGTCGAGGAAGGTGATGAGCTCGACGTTGAAGCGCTTGCCCTCCACCTTCCGCCGGAGGTAGAACTCGATCAGCTCCTCCTCCGTCGGGTGGAACCTGAACCCGGGCATCACCAGGTCATCCTCATGCCCATCTACCTCCCCCGCCGCCTTATTCCCTCCTCCTCCTCCTCCTCCTCCCGCCACCGCAGCCGCCGCCGCCGCTGCCGCATGCCCGTTGTTGTCGTACCTGTTCATCACCACCACCGCAGCTGCCTCTCCTTCGCCTCCCGCCGCTCTCCCCCTCCGCATATGCATCCGTCGCTAGGGCTAGTTGATCCCGGAGAACGCGAGCTCGCCGTGGGGGAGTAGTAGTAGTGTTCAAGTTGGGGAGGAGGACGCGGCGGCGGAAGAAGAGAGAAAGGGATAAGAGGCTAGTATCTAGCACAATATATATCGAGGGTAGAAAAAGCAGAGGTGGTAGTGGTGGTGGTGGCTGCGGTATCTATACTATACATACATCTACGTACCCACAACACAGCAGCAGCTCGGATGCTTGATCTCTCTAATATAACCGATCGGAATCGCTCAGATCGATAGGTCGATCGAGCTCGCATACATGTGGTACACGGACAGCGTCCTCGTCGTCGTAGCTGGGGCAAGCTAGAGCTAGGAGGTGAGCGGTAGAAGAGGGTGGAAACTGGAAAGCGATGGAGGCGCGAGTTAAATAGGTGGAGGGAAAGGGACGGCTCCGCCGCGCGCGGCGGTACAGCTATGGGCGGTTGTGTTGTGCCGCTAGCTTGCACGTACAGTGGCTTAGCTACTATCTATCTCTCGTTGTGGGTTGGGGACTTGGGGAGTGTTTGAGCTACTACTTATGTAGTGATGTCTGATGTTTGATGGATGAGCATACCACTACGTCATTAATGCGTGCTATCAATTTTACTCTCTCCGTTTCAATTTACTAGCTACAAATCTCACGTTATATTAGGGTAAGGGCAATAACACAACCGGTTCTAAACATCTCCAACTCAACTATAGCAAGTAATGCACACAACGTTTTTAATAATAGTCTCCGGCACTTACTCCAAAAGTATTGTCTTTATCTATCTATGTGGGTCTAATTTTTATCTTTGTTTCACTGTATTTTTGGTGGGTCTAAGGATGAAGCGGACTACTGGCTGCATGAGCCTGGGCGCTCGTGCATCACCGTCGACTATTTAGTCGACAACTTCCTTCTCTCTTGGCATGCTTCATCTCTGCTCCACCTCAGACTTTTCTAATGTATGCGGACTAATAGATTGCTTCGGTAGTCTTATTGCACTTACCCCTTAGGAGGCGTGACAACTAATAAATTATTCATCTACTCACTAAACACATCGTCACAGCCTGATATATTTTCCAAAAATCCATGGTGCTAAATATGCAATTACGTTGAAAACATTTGGACAAATCATTCAATTTGTTCCTGTTTTAGATGATATTTAATTTTTCAAACAAACATAATTTAACATACAAACTTTAAGTCTATCGTGGATTTGAGGTCTATAGCCGTGCCAAAGATAAAGGTTAGTAGGAGAAAAAATCTCTAGATATATGTACTTCAAAATGCTAGAATCATAAGTATTTTGAAAAAAAGAAGACTAGAACGATAAATAAATACATTAAACGGAGGGAATATATATTAATCCTGTGATATGTAGGGAAGAGTAATCATAGTCCTGTTAGGAGTAAAAACTGTACTGTCTAGCGATGGTTCGAACTGAAGGGAGAAGAGGCTAAAATAAGACGCTACATTTTCGGCTTTGGTTCTTTTGGTCTTTCGTGTGACAGGGACGTGTTTTCTTTTCGAGTTGTTCGATCGGCTGGTTGCTAACTCTGACGTCGCCGACGAGTCCAGATCGATCTCTCTCTGTGTGTTTCTCTTGGATTCCCTTTTAGTTTCGCGTGCGTGCGTGTGTGGCGGCCGGTGTGCACGCGCAAGAATGCACAGACGCACAGTGGCTGTTACTACTAGCTTGTGTCTCTCTGCATCTGATGGAATATATGCATGCAGCGCGATGCTTCTGTGACATTCCTTTCCACTACTGCCACATTCGCCAAAAAGGCTTTTTGCTACAGGGCAAAGCAGAATAAAAAGGGAAAGTGCAAAGCTACCATGCATGCATATGGTCGATCGGTGCTAAACTACTAGTACACTCCTTCGTTCTACAAACATACTACTTTAGGACATTGATACGGTTTTCAATATACTTCTTTAATCAACAGTATCTATAAAAATAAAATTATTTTGAATAAAACAAGTTGTACATTTAGTTACATTGGAGCTAACGTCGTCAATATTTGTTATTACTTTATTATTAATAGTTCAAACTAAATATTTTTGACTTAGATATGTTCTTAAAAATGTATATATTTGTGGACTGACCGAGTAATCAGGATCAAACCATACAACAGTTGTGTATGCATATTTTAGTACATACTTCTTCCAAACCCAATCAGTTAGGAATGTGACACAATCTAGTAGAATGAATTTGGACAGTTTATTGTTTAAATTTATTATACTAAATTGTGTTTTAATTCTCAACTAGATTGATTTTTTTTAACGAAGGAAATATCTAAATGATTAATTTCCTGACAGATGCATGGATATGGACCAGCTGAAGCCAGCAACAAGCACTAGTACAGCCGTACAGGCCGGTAATCGATCTATGGCATTATATTCAGTGATTCACGCGTGCATGGAGATCGATCTGTATCTGCCTGAATCATGGTTCGATCATGATAACGATGCTGCGTTGTTTTTCTTTTCTTTTGAGGCGTCCATATGATGAGATGTTGTACGGTGAGAGATGACCAGATGTTTCGACTGGATCGTCATGCAGCCAAACGTGCCATCGTGCCGAGGAAACAATACAGTATGGATATCATAAAATTAGACTGTACTTTCATCAGTACGTAAGAACTCTAATTAGTCGCAACTTGCAAAGACTGGTGTGTATGAAGACTGAAGTTGACAAATTCACTTTTGCAGCTGTGTTTGCACTGTCTGAAGAACCAGTCAGAAGAGTAAATTTCAGATATAGATTGGGCCAGTTTACGCATATGCACGTACGGTAAAATTCAAAGCAGAGAAAAGACATATTAATTTGCAAACAGCAAGTTGCATGAATTGGACAGATCGAGCAGCATATGATGGCCATCGAGATCGATCGTCCACATATGTAACCCAGCTTTTAGGCACGGATATGAGATGTTTAGGCAGATAGTGTTTAACCTACTCACACATCGCATCACCCCCCTACATGTCCGTCTACAGTAGTGCTGCACAAAGCCGAGCCGCCATGGGTGCAGACAAAAAGCTTCAGAAGAAGTTACCCCCTCGTGACACAGCATAAGACGCGCCGCTTGATCTCCAAAAGGGAGGCATGTAGGCCTCTCTCGCTGGCCACCGTATAATAGCCGCTGCATGCGTCTCTCTTCTCCATATATATTCCCCTGTCGTCTTCGTAGCAGCTACGCTCACACTGCTAGTTAGCTGCTTTTCCGAATTGTTTCATATTGTAAGGTGTTTTACATTTGTTTGTCGTTCTAAATTAAACATTTACGATTTATGATTAAGTTTATTGAAAAAAATATGGCAATATTTTTGACACAAAATAAATAGGATGCAAAAATGTACTCCCTCCGTCCCATAATATAAGAAATTTCGAGTTTTTCCTTACAACGTTTGACCACTCGTCTTATTTAATTTTTTTTGTAAATATAAAAAATGAAAAGTTATAATTAAAGTAACGTGGATAATAAAGTAAGTCACAAATAAAATAAATAATAATTTTAAATTTTTTTGAATAAGATGATTAGTCAAACGCTACAAACAAAAACTCAAAATCCCTTATATTATGGGACGGATGGAGTATTTGATATGGATTTAATAAAATTAATTTGGTATTATGCAGATATTGTTATATATTTCTATAAACTACTCCCTCCGTTTCAGGTTATAAGACGTTTTGATTTTAGTCAAAGTCAAACTATTTCAAGTTTGACTAAGTTTATAGACAAATATAGTAATATTTATAATACCAAATTAGTTTCAATAAATCAATAATTGAAAATATTTTCATAATAAATTTGTCTATGGTTGAAAATGTTATTATCTTTTTCTCTACAAACTTAGTCAAATTTAAAGCAGTTTGATTTTGACCAAAGTTAAAACGTCTTATAACCTGTAATAAAAAGCTTAATTTGGAACAAATCGAATCTAAAACGTACTACACCTTATAATATGGAATAGAGGGAAGTACGTACCATCGTTGTGAGCTTCAGAGCAAGGCTAGCAGCTAGCTACGCGCGCATATGCAGAAACTAGCCAGAATTAACAGCTCATAAAAAGATCATCATTCATGCTTGCATTGTGCTCTGCTAGCTTTAACTTAATTAGCATCCAAAATATGCAATTTGCATTGGTTGGATGGTTCGTGATGCCCGTGACTGACACTGTCCTCCTCTCGATCGATCCATTCATCAGCCTGTACACATTTGCTGTTTGCAAAAAGGAGTTGATTTTTTTTTCTCCTTTGATTTGTTCGGATCTCTTTCGCTTTCATGGACGCATCGTTTGGCTGAGAGAAACACTAGTGGTGTAGCTCAGTAGCTTAGATTTGTAGCCAGATTTCTCGATGCGTTTCGACAGTGCCTTTTTACATTAATTACAAGCGATATCGATGACAAAAACGAGTTGGGATGGTGTATGTATGGATGTGAGCTGCAGTGTCGTCGGACACATGTGGCTCCATTGGTCCAAACCTTAGATTTATTCCCTTCTAGTTCTGGGCCCACACACAGCCACACACGGTCTATGCATAAGGACATGTCTCTGTATGCATCATCTAGTGCAACAACTTGCTAGCTTCAGTCAATCAGTTGCATATGTATTAACATGGTGTCTAATCAGTGAAGATTAATTTAGTTTTTGCCATGAATAAGCTTGTACAAGTAGAGGTAAAGATCGATCGGTTGCTGGTGTGAACTAGCAAGAAATGGAAGGGAGAATTTGTGCGTGGAAGTCGACGCTAAGTCTAGAAGTACATGTAGATTTTTTTTCCCCTTGAAACGAATGTACATGTAGAAATTTACTGCTGGAAAAAACAACTACACATCGGCATCGATCTGGGCGACTTCTCCAAAATGAAAATGACTTGATTTGTCTTAAGCTAAGCAAGGAACCAAGAAACATCCACATGAAAAGATGGTCCTACGCTAGAATGTCATGAGATTAGACACAAGGGCCTTTCTAGTAGGCCAGCTCGGTTAGACTCCTCCATTCAGTGCCATTTCAATTAATTAATTAATTTGGTCTGCCTTTCTGTGGATGTCAACAATCATGTGGCTATTCTTTTTCTTTTGTTGTAATAGTATTGTGTTGCTTTTATCGGTTATACATTTAATGAAGAGATCGTGTTGTTTTTGTCATTTTCATTTATTTAATTATTTTCCTATGCTGGAAAAATGAGCCGTGGAGAAAATTTTCTATCTAGTAGAGTATATAGTAGTAGCAAATAACGAGTCACAATCTGATGGAGACAACCACCGACCTTGGTGAGCTTATCACATTATTTATATCCCCAATTTCTGCAACTTTTTGGACAATGCAAATATTTCCATAGTTTTTTTATGCACGCCGTTCTGTCGAGATGTACTCTGATCTCAGCTAAATCATACGCGTATCTAGGTCGGCTGCGCGAATGATAGACACCACGAATCCCCAATATGCATATGTATGCACGTATTTTTGAGCAACACTATATTTTCCACGATGAGAA